CGTGCTATGCACAGATTGTGTTTACAATTATCTATATATGTGAATTGTGATTTTTAAACGTTTTTAATTTATTTTTTTTAAATGTCTTCTTTTTTTCCTTTTTGATATTATATTAAAGTTTAATATTTTGATAGTAATCATATGTGCTGGACTTTTCAAGGAATTAAATGTCTTTTTTTTAATTATTATATTATATTAAAATTTAATATTTTGATAATAATCATATGTGTTGGACTTTTCAATTTTTTTTTATGCTTGTTCTTAATGCATTAAAGTATTATTATGAGGGATAATAATCATGTGTGTTGTGACTTTTCAAAGAATTCATATGTGTTAGATTTTAAATAATTTTTTTTATGCTTGTTCTTAATGCATTAAAGTGTTATTATGAGGGTAAGACTTGAGAGTTGAGAGAAGCTAATAAATGCTAACATTTTATTTTTTTTTAAATCAAAAAATCAAAAAATTTAGATTGGGAGATTAGAGCTTCCACAAAATTTGGGGTTAAAAATCTCCTTTTGCTTAATATATAGTATAGATGGTAGTATTAAAGGAAAAAAATCTGATTAAGCATGGCTAATTAGTGTGGAAATAAAATTACATTATCAGTTGACAATTGGCCAATAGGAACGGTTCGCTTTCACCAATAGCTTCAGTTCATGGTGCGCGTCGGTGACAGAGAGACAGAGAGAGAGAGAGAGAGAAAAGGAGAGAGGCGTGGGTAGGGTTTATTGGGAAGGTGAGTTTCTGTGCTTGCCCTAGCTCTGTTCGATCACCAATTCACCATCGTCCAATCGTATCACTAATACAACTACTAACACTCTAGGCCAAGTTTAGGAACTTGTAAAAAAGTCAAAAAGTCAAAAAATTAAAAAATTAACATTATTTACCAAAAGTCAATAATTACGACTGCACAACTCCCAATTCGAATTTTTCCTTACAAATCAATTTTTACAATTTTTTATTACACATTTTTTTCATAAAAAGTCAAAAAGTTAACCCAAACATTCATATTTTCAAACTTAATTTTTTAGTCCAAAAAGACAAAAAGTATACTTATTTAGGACACCCAAACAACCCTTAGTTTCAAGGATGAATCGGCATTGGAAAGTGTTTTCCCAAAAAAAGTTTTATTTTGTATAAAATAAAAAAAAAAGTCCATTCTAAAAGTTTTAAAGATATATTTAAATACGAGAATGTAGATTATCATTCAATTCGTACATCATTGCATGATGAAAACCAAATAGTTGAATGTGGTGGACATTCCAATTCGTTCAATTTTATATTCATTCTAACGTTTTATTCCATTCTTTTATACCAAACGAAAAATTGCTTGTCAATGGTATTACCAAAAAATTATTAGAGATTAATGGAAAAATTTTATAATTTTAATTATTAATGTGTATAGAATTTATCACTTAATTTTTTTTAAAAAGTATATGCTAAATTGAAATTTCCCCAATACCAAGCATGTTCTGAAAACAATGAAACTAATGTAAATTGTGTAAATATAAAAATACTTAATGGTTGGTAACATATATTTTCAAGTATAAAAGAGATTGTAACATCTTTTTTTATTCATATGATTAATGAATTGATATTGGTCAAAAAACTAAAGTGATATATTTAAAGTGAAATCACGAGCTTATTTGGCATGTATTAAAATAACACATTATCTTATTTAGTTTACAATTATATTTTTTGAGTCACATCATCTCTTTACCATATTATTTCAACTCTAACTCATATTTCATATTTTTTTAGTAAAAAGTCAAAAAGTATATTAATCTAGCACTTACTTTTAGCAAATAATTGTAGATTGGAGGACAAATTTATGATTGTGTATTTAATGTTTGTAAAAATTATCATTATATAAGAAAATAATGTGAACTAAATGGAACATAAGTAGATGAAAAGGGTATTTTGGTCTTCTTATCTCAAATTGGACCTAATGGAATAGTCAAAAAGAATATGGGTTGGATGGAATAAAGCTCTTAGAAAATGGATTTATCAAAAAAGCTCCCTAAAATAACACATTATCTTATTTAGGTTATAATTATATTTTTTGAGTCACATAATCTCTTTACCATATTACTTCAACTCTAACTCATATTTCATATTTTTTTCGTAAAAAGTCGAAAAGTATATTAATCTAGCACTTACTTTTAGCAAATAATTGCAGATTGGTGGACAAATTTATGATTGTGTATTTAACGTTTGTAAAAATTATCATTATTATGAAAGTATTTTTTTCTTTAAAATACCATAATTACCATTAAATTTAAAAGTAATGTATTGAAATTATATCAAATTTATGAAACTTGTTTTATTTATATATATATTTTAAAATCTACGGGGCATTAATGTAATTTTACCATAATAAATTCAATTAAGTTGGAGGTAATTCTATTTTTATACTCCAATTCCTCTTAGTTCAAATAATGAACACATTCTCAGTACAAATATAAAAAAATAAATAAAAATCTCAGTAAACGTTTCTTTATTTCAGTATATCCTCATCTTCAATTTTAAAATCTTAATTTTTCTTCCATGCACCCACCTTTCATTCGCCGTCATTGTTGTCACTCTCAACCATTCATTGCCACCACCACTGTTACTTCCATCTCATTCTCTTTCATTGTAGACTTTCATAGTCAACCTCAAAAGTGTGGTTTGTGTGGCAAAAGGTGGTCGTAAGTGAAAAAGAAAACATACGATAAGCAGTGATGGTAGATAAAAGAGGTGGCGTTGAAGATGAATGATGGTTGTGGTGTTTTAGAATTAGGATTTGTGTGGAAGAAGATAAATATATTATGATATTTTTATTTTGGATAAATTACAAATCGGGAGAGGCTTTACTCCAGTCCATTGTGTGGATTATAATGTATTGTTGGGCTCGTGGAGCTTTATCATGGGTATTGTTTCTATAATCTGAACCGTTCAATAGAACTTGTCAAGTACTTCATACTTGCAAAAAATCATGTTATTCGGATATTGGTAGCCCTTGATCGGAACACATTTTTGTTAATAATTTATTTTTAAAATCATATTTGCCATTGACAAAAATGAATTTTGATTAAGGGGCTACTGATATCCGATCAACGTATTTTTTTATAGGTATGAAGTACTTGACGAGCTTTGCATATTGTACGATTTGAATTATCGAAAATGAGACCGTAACAGGCCCCACAGGCCCAATAGTACGCTCCAGTCCCTACAGTGGACTGGAGGGAAGCTTATCCCTTACAAATACACTACCCAAGGCCTTACTTAAAATACTAGTTGCTTCTTGTGATTTAGAAAATTACAAATACGCTATTGTCAGAATTTTTATTTAACATAATTAATAAAAAAATGGAATTTATAACTATTCTACTATGGAACAATACAAAATTATGTGCATTATTAATTGAATTATATTTATGACATTATTAAAAATTAGTAATTGACTTAATGATTTATTAATAGAATGAGTCATTTATTATGCGAGTATAAACTTGAAGGTACAAGAAGTTATTTTTTAAAAAACAAGAAATAATTCGTATTTTAAACAAATTTCAGGAGATTTGCCCCTTTATGTTTAATCACTTTTTCACTTTGACCCCTAAAATTTATTTATTTTTACTTTGACTTTACATGTTTCAGGTTTTTTCCAATTTACTCTTAAAGTTAATTTTTATTAAAAATTAAATAAAAAATGACACATTAATAGCCACGTGATATAATAATATTTTATTAGATGCGAGTCACACATCTGACATAAATTTAAACTTTTTATAACAATATTTTTGTATATTATATGACAGTTATTTTGACAAGTTCAAATAATGAACACATTCTCAGTACAAATATAAAAAAATAAATAAAAATCTCAGTAAACGTTTCTTTATTTCAGTATATCCTCATCTTCAATTTTAAAATCTTAATTTTTCTTCCATGCACCCACCTTTCATTCGCCGTCATTGTTGTCACTCTCAACCATTCATTGCCACCACCACTGTTACTTCCATCTCATTCTCTTTCATTGTAGACTTTCATAGTCAACCTCAAAAGTGTGGTTTGTGTGGCAAAAGGTGGTCGTAAGTGAAAAAGAAAACATACGATAAGCAGTGATGGTAGATAAAAGAGGTGGCGTTGAAGATGAATGATGGTTGTGGTGTTTTAGAATTAGGATTTGAGTGGAAGAAGATAAATATATTATGATATTTTTATTTTGGATAAATTACAAATCGGGAGAGGCTTTACTCCAGTCCATTGTGTGGATTATAATGTATTGTTGGGCTCGTGGAGCTTTATCATGGGTCTTGTTTCTATAATCTGAACCGTTCAATAGACCTTGTCAAGTACTTTATACTTGCAAAAAATCATGTTGTTCGGATATTGGTAGCCCTTGATCGGAACACATTTTTTTTAACAATTTATTTTTAAAATCATATTTACCATTGACAAAAATGAATTTTGATCAAGGAGTTACTGATATCCGATTAATATATTTTTTTATATGTATGAAGTACTTGACGAACTTTGCATATTGTATGGTTTGAATTATCGAAAATGAGACCGTAATAGGCCCCACAGTACGCTCCAGTCCATACAGTGGACTGGAGGGAAGCCTATCCCTTACAAATACACTACCTAAGGCCTTACTTAAAATACTAGTTGTTTCTTGTGATTTAGAAAATTACAAATACGCTATTGTCAGAATTTTTATTTAACATAATTAATAAAAAAAAGTTAATTTTAAGAGTTTAGTGAGAAAAACTTGAAATATAAAGAGTTAAATTGAAAAAAAAATAATTTGAAAGGACAAAGTAAAAAAATAATCAAACATAAAAAGGGCAAAGGATAATTTATCCTATAATTTATTCTTTTATTTTAATACAAAATTGTAGTATTAAAGAAAAAAAACTGATTAAGCATGGCTAATTAGCGTGGAAATAAAATTACATTTTCAGTTGACAATTGGCCAATAGGAACGGTTCGCTTTCACCAATAGCTTCGGTTTATGGTGTCTCGGTGACATAGAGAGAGAGAGAGAGAGGAGAGGAGAGAGTTGTGGGTAGGGTTTATTGGGAAGGTGATTTTCTGTGCTTGCCCTAGCTCTGTTCGATAACCAATTCACCATCGTCCCAATCGTCGTCTTCATCGTCGTGATCTCTCTCTTGCTTTGTCCTTTGTCACAATCCAACACATCGTAGATCCTCTCTCTCTCTCTCTCTCTCTCTGGGGTAAGCACCTAGCTAATATATGAATGTATCTATGTGCATATATCTATTTATTACATGTTTATACGTATTTATATTTGTTGCCATTTTTATCTCCTATCTCTCAAGAAACAACGAAAATTAGGTTAAAGGGTTTGGATTTAAAATTGGGTTTATATTATGATTGTCATTTTTTTTGCTCTTTGAATATAGCAATTATTATACTTATATAGCTATATCTCTGTTAAACCACCTGAGAGTTCTGTTTTGTAATTTTATCCGCAATTTGAGTTATGTTAGAGCATCTCCAACCGCTTACTCTAATTTTAATCAAATTTGACTAAAGTTTCATCTGATAGCACGTGTTTCAAAGCTAATTTTTCAAGTTTCATCAAACAACCGGTTGACTGGGGGACAACCGGGAATGAGCAAAGCAATGGGCAACTTTGCAAGTAACTGGTTGTCCGGTGTATGGTGAAGTGCAATGTCTCTCTCCAAAAATTTGATGAACACTGAAGCCTTCCTCGATTTGATGAAACTTTTACTTTTTCCCTCATTTGATATAGGTTTGATGCCATGGTTGGAGGAGAAAAAGTAAGCTTGTTTCATCAAATTAAATTTGATTCCAAATCTGAGTAAGCGTTGGAGACGCTCTTATGATGATAATTTGTTAGAATCTCTTTAGTGGAGGGGAAGGACTACACTGACATAGAATGTAAACTGACATTGGATGCGGTAGTCAATGCCATAAGGAAAACAAGGTAGAAATAGTCTGATTCTGTTTTGTTGAAATCTTGCTCTGTTCTGGTGAGTTTCGGTGGTATAAATACAGGTCGGCAATCAGAATTTTGCGGTATCTTCCAGTACTCAATCTCTTTAAAAATGGACTGGGTAATTTGATATCCTAAATGGTAAACATTATTATATAAGTTGACCTAGATCCCCAAATTTGTGGAAGCCTATGAAGTTTGGATAGGGACATGTGGCACCACACTGGCACAAATTTTTCAAAAAATGGAAGACACGATATGTGAGGAACACATGCAAAATATATAATTTTATATATTTATTATATGTTATATATAAGGTTAAATAATTAATAGATGTTATAAATGAATATTTAAGTCTAATATAATAATTTTAACCTCTAAAAGAGGAAAATGATATGAACTTACATCATTTCTGTTCAAACTTATAATGTGTTTCATGTGTGCCCAAGTGTTGGGAAGTATCTGACGAGTGTCATCGACACGACACGTTACATTCTTGGAAGTATCCGTGCTTCTTAGATGGAAGGTACTTAGTGCTCACAATTCGGTCATTAGCCAACTGCGATTTCTTTTTATATGATGTGTAGGTGCATAGAGATGCATTTTTTTACCTTGTTCTTAGTGCAGTTAACAGTGTTGTTGGCTCCTCATATTGATGCACTTTATGGATGATTCACTAATTAAACAGGCTTATATAACAATCTTAACTCATGACATCACGAGCTTTGAGGAGAAGACTCCACCATGGGGATGTCGATGGGAAAAGACACGAACATTTGGAGACATCAGGGCTAGATGGTTTGGATGAACCTTTACTTGGGAATCATGATTATGATGAGACATGCTCAGAGGTGAGTTTTTTGTTTCTGTCTTCCTTCTTTAATCTTTTAATCCTTTTATCCCTCTGTATTTTCTACTTGGTTTTTGGTTAACTAGGATGGAAGTATTGTGAATAAAAGTGTTGTTTTATATGATTGATAGCTATCTATATTATAGGGATCCACACTTGCAGATATTTGGGACGATGAACGAAAGAGGGAACACCACCATTGGACACTTTTATTTTCCCAGTTAATTGCACAGTGGGCACAATGGTTAGGTATGTGATTGTCTTATAGTTTCTCAGCTAACACATTAATGTTTTTTTACCCTATCCATTGAAAAGGAGGCTAGATCAATTAGTTGGACTCTCATGGAATTACACAATAGCATATAAATAGATCATAAATTTTATCAGCTAATCAGCTTCCCTTTTATTTTATATTATCTGGTTTGAGGATCATTACCATGCAACTGTGTTGCTAAACTATATATTTTTGACATGCAAAGACATTGAATTGAAGGGGATTAATAATTGTGTTTGGTGTGGAGTGATATTTATAGTGCCATTAAATGAAATGAAAAAAAAAAATATTTATAGTGCGCTATTCATTTTTCAAGTAGTTTGGGTATGGTTGCATCCTCAACAATTAAGGTGTAGAATTAAGTCTTTCGTCATTTCATGTACTTTTGATAACTGTATCTGGGAGAAAATCCATTTTGCCCCTTTCATATTTTGATAATGGGTATGTGGATTTCAACCAACCAAACCATACTTGAAGTTTTAAGTTTTGTTTTGTTTTTTGTTTGTTTGTTTGTTTTTCTTTTTTTTAAACTCTTGTTCATATAGATATGTGTATTTCAACCAACCAAATCATACTTGAAGTTTTAATTCCTTTTTTTTAAACTCTTGTTCATATAGATATGTGTATGTATTTATCGGAAGAATCTTTATATAGGACATGTCATATGTAGTTATATATGACAAATTCTTTTCTGTTAGATAACTACATATTTCATATCCTTTTCTGTTAGATAACTACATTGGAAGAATCTTCATATATGACATAAGTTGATTGACAAATTCTTATAGGTCTCGGTTAACCTTTAGATGGTGTGGGGTGTTTGAAGACCTTCAAATGTGTTGATTGACAATTTCATTTGATTTTAATAGCAAATCTTGTAGTTGGATCTGGAACGCTTATTGGACGACTTTTGCCCTTTCCTTCTGCCACTCAAAATGGACCAACCAAGAAGCTTCTTGTGCCATCACTTAGTCCTTTACAGGTAAAACATAAAGACTACCAATGTTTCAGTTGATTGCAAATTTTGGTTTCATTGTGATTTCAGGTTATTGGAAATGAAATGAATGCTTAATGTGTTCACAAACCATATATGTTTGTAATAATGCAACACCTGGTTTTGGTGAAGTTCCTAGTTTTAAACTGTCACATTTTTTATAAGTCAAAAATACCCCCTAAAAAAAAATATGCAGCAACTACACATCACTATACTATAGTTTCAGGCAATCAAGGTCATGTCAATCCGAAGTGCATGAATCACAACTGACACACATCTAGGGTGTCACTTTTCTTTCCTTTCCTTGTGACTATGGATTTCAAAATGTTCTATACAGTTAGCCTTATTGGTGATGCCCTATACCAATAAAAGAAGTCCTAACCAAGAAGACTAGAACTTTGGTTAGACAATTGATTTGATTTTCATATCCTTTGCCAATGTGCATAACTTAAGCTATAGTTTAGATGCTTCCTAACCAATTGATGCACATTTCTTGCCAAACATGTGATTGTGTTGTATTTATCTACTGGTGATAAGTCACTTGTTAATGCACTAATGGAAATGATTTGGTGTCTTGTTCTTGGACAATTTTTTTTGGGTGCCAGGACGACTCAAAATTGGTATCATATTTGAGTCTCGAGCTACAAAATAATATACTAAGTGTAGGCTAGGCTCTATAAAAAATAAAGAAAAAGAATTATAAAAGTTAAACAAAAAAGAAAATGGAGCCATAAGAAGTAGACAAGACATGCTACTTGACTATTGTATAAAAAGTTCCAAAACACATATATTACGAAATAAGCTAGAAATAAATTATCGTCACCATTAATAGCCGCCTTCTCCATTCCCTAACCTCAGACCTCATTTATATTAGGGTTGTTCATATATTCATCCGACCCAACCAAACCGACCCATCATCTGCAGTTGATTTTGCTGAACCATTGGGTTGGATATGGGTGCTATTCTGTCCAAAAAGCGAGCCTCGATTTGGATATCAGATTTATAATATTGTACGTTATTAAAACTTGACTGATCAGATATTTATTGTTTGAAATTTGAGTACTTCTTAGAGTTGTTTCTCCTCTGTTACGTGCCACTCTCTTGATAAGGGAGCTTGTCACTTTACTAGTTCAACTTGTGTAGATTTTTTGATTACTCTTCTCAACTTCCAAGCTGTCACTTTATTATTTCAACTTCCAAGACTCCCTCTCCTCTCTCATTACTTTTGCCAGAGCCTTTTCTTCTCTTTATCACTCTTATTAATACCCCCTCTTTCTCTCTCTATCTCTTCTCTCTTATCAAAAGAGATGGAGGCTCTGTCTCTCCTTTCTCTTTCATTTTCTCACTATCATTCTTTGTATCTTTTTCTCTGTGTACGAGATGGCCGTGACGGAGAACATGGCGAAGATGGCAGTATCTGCTCTCTCTCTCTCTCACCCCCCTACAAAAAAAAAAAAACCTCATTCCCTCCATCTCCCTCTGATTGCCTTGGCCTAAGACCTTCATCTCCTCTTTCCTACCTTTTCTGATCTTTATCTGCTGAAACTCGTATACCCCAAAACCTTCATCCCCTTCTTCCTTCCCTTCTGATTTTGTTGAGTTGAGGAAGATGGATGAGTTGTGGTACTGACTGAAGCTCGACTGATTTTTTTGCCACCCAAAATGAATGGTTTTGAAGTAATGTTTGGATGAGTTTGGTTGATAGGTTCTTCAAATCGACGTTGTCGGTTTGGCTGGTGGGCAACTGGCACATCTGACCCAACCTTACTAGACCCGTGAACACCTCTAATTTTTATATTTTATTACTCATATCAGAATCTATGTGCTGATCTTATGCTCGGTCTTCCTCATTTTTCTCCACTGATAACTACCATCGAGTCTCGTTGCTCATGTCAATGAGCTTTAGGTGTTGAAGAAGGAAGAAAATGAATGACCTTGCTTCCAAATTAGTGGTACCTAAATGCACTGCCTTGTAATATGAAAGATTCTTGATTATTATCATAACCTTTTCCTTGTTGTCTTGGCTTTTCTTGGTGGTTTGCTTGGAGTTGAGCTTATTGTGTCTAAGACTGTATAACTCACTCATCTCAATTCTCAAACAATTCCTTTTTGTTTTTTTTGCTATGTTTTGTAGTGGGTTAGTATCTCATCTTGGCCCATGTCAAGAATTGAGATAGGGATTACTAAGATGAGATGTCTTATTCTCAATTGAAACATTGAACTAAAAAATGCTATTTTCATGCCTTTCTGCACATGGTTGTGCTACATTCATCAAGGCTCTTATAGTACATCCACGACCACACTCTAAAGGCCCATATCATTCAGAGCCATTGTCATTTTTTGCAGGAAAGTTTGAATTGCTGTACCAAGAGACAGTATGGCTGTGTTGGGATGATGTTCATTGTGTGTTGGCTAGAGTCATGATTTTAGAAAAGGCCTCTTTTGCAACATCTATTTTTATTTGTTAGTGTGGGCCTATGGATTTCTCAAATTTAGACCTAAGAATCTTGAAAAATGTGTTTAATGAAAATATCTAAGTATTAAACTAGAGGTTGCAGGGGGTTGTTGGGGAGATGTATCCATAAATTAATCTGCTTTTGAAGGGAGTAAAAAATTTATGATTTGTTCTTGAATGAATGAAAGACCATGATGTGTTTAGTGTTTTCACTAAGTGGAAACATGTTATATTACATGTATAAAGGATGGAGTACAATATTGTGCATTTTTAGAATATGTTCTAGCATTTGTAGTATAAAAGCTGCAAGAGATCTCCATTGATCTGTTCTTGGTACCTTCATATGTTCTTTGCTAAAGGGATTTATGTTTTGTCTGCTTATATTCTATTAAAATGAGTTTGAGTTTACCATTTCTTCTTGTTGATGCTGTAAATGGTATGTTTTTAGGAAGTAAGACTCAAAAGTCTACAACAAAGGCTTCAAGTTCCCTTTGATGGTTCTCTTTTGGAGCATCAAGTAAGTCTTTATCCAATATTTGTTTTCCATTTTTCTTAGTGTGTGTTTGCCTAGCTTCTTGATATTTGCAACAATTTCCTTGTTTTATTTGTCTCGACTTCTTCAAGATTTTTTACCACAATTTGTTTTAAACTAGCAAAACAAAGCTATGAAATCAGAGTTAGTTTTTACTGGTATGCTACATCTATAAAAGTACTTCATAGGGATTTTGATAGGATTGTATGTTTCAACGTGAATGTGATTTTCTGATTAGAATGATAGTGTTCCTAGAAAATGTTAGTACCCTAGTGATTTACATTTTGGAGCGCATGTTCCAAAGTTTCATTTTTGTTCCAAAACGGTGTATTTAGCTATCCAAAACAATCCCAATTTTGTTCCCTAATATATTTCCCCAAACAATACGGTAGAAGGGAAAAAAAATTTAAATATAGTGAACTAAAATCTAAGTAGTGGAGTTTTTGTATGAAAAAACATAAAAAATGGGTCATAATCCTCATAGCAATGTTTTGTTACATAATTAATTTGGAAAAGAAAAATAAAGTACATTTTATTGATTGTCTAATTGTAAGAGAATTTTTTTTCTAGAAGTATGTTAAATTTTAGTAGTGTAAACCTAGGAAGCATGGATATGGGATACGGCAACACGGATATGGCGACACGTCAAAATCTGAAAAAGTAGGATACGGGGTATAGTGGGGATACGTTCGTAAAAAAAATTATTATTTATAATTTTAATAATGTAATATGCATGAAAATAAAATCTAAAGCAAATTAATATATAGCAAATTAATAAATAAAGAAAAAGATTCCTATTAAGCTAAGAGGAGTCTTCAAACATTCATAAAACATAAACATCGTCTTTACATGCCAACACTAAAAGCAAATTAAAAAAACTAGAGAGAATTCTATTAAACTAAGTCTTCAATGTCAACATCAACTTGTTCCCCTTCATCTGTGAATATCACAACTTCCATATCTGGTTCATCAAGAGAAAGATTTACAATTTCAAGCAAGCCAGCACCCTCCAAAGAATCAAAGGCATCACCACCAACGTCCCATAACTTGGTATCTCCTTCCATGTATTGTCGACGACTTCTTGATAGAAGACGGAGATTGTTGTGGACAAAAATCAAATCTTCAGCACGTTGCGGGTGTCATTTCATAGCACGATGAGGAACATGGTTGACCAAGCAACTTTAATGCCAAAGATTGAAGCATAGGTGCAGGAGCCCCATGTGTAAACCACCAAATAAATGGATCCAAAATTCCTCTATCCATCTTTGAATCAAAATCTCCAAATGTGTCCCAAACATCCTAAAAACTTGACATATTCCACATTGACCACCCTTCTCTCATCTTCATTTAGAAAATATTTCTTCAAGCACTTGTTTCTCATACTTGAAATTTTTTCATCTCGACGAGGGGAACGTGATTGGAATTTTCATTAAGCCATGTTGCACTATAAAACCTAAATTATAACATAAAAATTTAAAATTAAATTATGTCTTTCGCATTAAAAGAATAAGGGTTTATTACATTTTATCTCCCGGTAGTTTAGTCTAAAAACTCATTACCTCCCTATCGTCTAGAAGTATGCACATTACCTCCTTATGGTTTAGAGTGAAGTGTAATGTTAAACTTTATTAATAGTTTTTTCAAAAAGTCTATATTGACCTTATTCTTTTATCCTATTTTTTTCTCTATGCCATCATAAACCTCAAAACCACACTAATTGATTTTTCTCCTCTCTCTCCAGTTTCTTTGCATTACTTCCAGTAGACCTTCTTTTTCAAGACTCAAACCCTTCTAACTTATCTTCTCCATATTGCGCATTTTTTTTTTCTTTTCTTCGTCTTTCTTTTTTCTTTGCTCAAGTACTCAAGTAATTATATGAATGAAATTGAGTTTCCCCCCTGGCTGCATTTCACCACTGAAATTGTGAGGGTGACTATTGGTTCAATGGTAAAACCTTGGTCTAATAACCTTGAGGTTATGGGTTCAAGTCATGGGGCAACCACTTTGTGCACTATGCCAAAAGTTAGGTATATATTCAATCTTTTCCCTCCCAAATACACATTAATGTGTACTAATTGGGCATTAATTTAATTTAATTTTTTTCTTTCTTTTCCATCACAACTGCATTTTCTTCTACCATTCACACTATTTTAGCAGCAGCCCATGAGAGGAATGGTGGTGGGCTGCTTGGTGGCCATTGGTGCCGCTGGCCACCAAAGTAGAGAGAGAATGTAGAGCCTGCCATTGGAGGCAGTGATGGAGATGAGAGGGAGGATAATTGGAGTTGGAGGAAGGAATGAGGAGGAAGAATGATGCGTAGTAGTGAATGGAAGGAGGAATGAAGAGGAGCAGGGAAGAAGAAAACAAAAGCACAAATGAAAAGGAAAAAGAATGGATAAAATGGTCATTTTATTAGCCGCACACTATTTCGCATGCTCATTTTAGTGCGTGTGACCCACACGCTGTTAACTTAAATAGAATCTGTTACTCTTGCACTTTACTCCAAATCATAAGGAGGTAATATGTACATTTCTAAATCATAAGGGGGTAAAATGTGTTTTTTGGCAAAATCACAAGGGGGTAAAATGTAATTAACCCAAAGAATAATGTCAATAAAGAATCTTATTTAGTAAGAGTATAGAAGTAAGTTGTTACCTTGGATTCAAAGAATGTGCAAGGCAATGAAGAGGAGTGTTACTTTTGGCCCATCTCTCAACCAATATACTGTGCACCACAGGATAAAAGCTTCACTTCTCATTATCCAACTTTCCTTCATGCCTAAAGATGGCTGCCTTCACCTTTTCAATCACTGTCCCACATCTTATAGACTAAATGAAGGCATGGTTTGTCAGTGTTACAAAACTTAAGCATCTCATAAATAGGCAAAGTGAAAGAGAATGTATTCCATCTTGTCCCACCACACATCATTCAATAATTTTTCCTTCACAGATGCTGCTTTCCCAATATCATTCTCTCTATAAGAAGCCCACTTGTCACTTATAACCATTGATTGGAGGCCACACTTTATAGGTTTAAGCTTTTGGAGCATAACAACAGCAGATGCAAAGTGTGTCCGCAACAGCAAGTAACTTCAAGGGCACAAATTTGTTTAAAATAGCCAGCTGCATCGAATGATTCATGATAAAGTTTTTGACAAACAATACATCATCTACGCAAAGTGTAATCCAACGACATTCATCATAAGCAAAAGAACTTCCCCCTTTTCTTTTGGGGCACATATATTCTTTAGAGCAAGATTTGGTGTGTGCATGACACATGGTGTCCAAAAAATATTTGGATATTTACTTTCAATGAGCAAATCAGCTGCACTACACACGGGAGCATTAACAGTAATTACTTGAATGACATTCTGAGGTCCAACTTCTTCAATTGCTTGGCTGATTAAGTTGGAAATAATTTTTTTTTTCTTTATACCCATTCTCACAATTTATAGCTTTCAAGAATATTGCCCCAGGTTCTGATGCTTCCATAAAATTAATAAGAGGTCTTCTTTTAGAATCTATCCATCCATCAGAAACAATACTCAATCCCTTTTCCTTCCACGATGATCTTGTTGGCTCCAACAACCTTTCTACATTAGCCCTTTCTCTTTGAATCAATGTTGTCCTTAACAAGTTATAACAAGGTGGTATATAACCAGGAATTGGATTGTTTGTAGCAAATTGAAAAGCACTCACATAATATGGGTTTGTAGATAAATGAAAAGGTAACCCACCATAATAAAACATGTGTTCAATCACAGAATGCAATTGTTCACGAACAGAAATGTTGAATGCCTTTTCTAAGGCATTACTTCCAGTAGACCTTCTTTTTCAAGACTCAAACCCTTCTAACTTAAATTCTTCACCACTATCTAATGCCCCTGAAGGGCTTGAACTTATTGAGTTAGATTGGAGAGTTGAAGGTGGCAAAGGAACATTTTTTGGCATAGCCATTTGTATCTGTTTCTTGGCTTCTTCAATTTTTCTTGGCATTTCAGCTAGGTGCTCAGGTGTTACCCTAGGGCATACTCTAATCCTATGGCCAGAAAGCTTCAACAAATGTGCCTTGACTCTAAAGTACGACCCCTTATACTCATTCTGACAATAATTGCATTTAAATTTTGTATTACCACATTTTCCACCCATTTTTTCAACTTTTGTAACATAACTCCAAAGAGGAGCATGATCATCTTCAATTGGTGTACTACCTCCACTTGTTGAACCATAACATCCCAAAGAACTCATGTCCCAAAAATTAAAAATTTGATTAAGAAATACTAACATTAAATTTCCTAAAATTAAAAATTTGATAAAGATTATACTAACATTAAAACAGTGTAATAGTAATAGATAATGGGGAAAAAAAAATTCAAACCAGAGTAGAGCAGGCAGAGAACAAATGTGAGAGAGCGAGAGAGGAGTGAGAGAAATGGAGAACGAGAAAACAAAGAGAGAGAGAGAGAACCTGTTGTTTGTATGCTTCGATTTGTCGTGAGAGAGAGAGAGATAACTTTTGCTGTGATTTTTGCTTCGATTCTGTTTCGATTTTGCTTCGAAGTTGAAAACCAGATTTTTCCTTGACTTCGTCTTTGACTTGAGCTTAGGGTTGTTGAGGATCTGATTTGGGTTGTATATTTGCAATTCAAGTTCTTTTATTGATGGTTTGACCACAAGAAGTTTTGAAATTATGTTTTTTGCCCTGCCGTATCCCAAAAGTGTCCATAATGTATCCATGTGTATCCGAGCCATATCCAAAATTCAAAAAAAAATGGGATACTTTGTGGCCATATCCAGACGTATCGGACGCGTATCCGTATCCGATACGTGTACGTGGCCTAGTTCGGAGTATTTGTGATTCATAGGTGTAAGCTATACAAGTTTATGGTTATACATAAACAAAAACTATGGATATTGGTGTTGGGTTATATATCCAAAAAAAGAAAGAAAAGGATATTTGTGTTAGGCTATGACGTATGGGTACAG